AAAACCTGCACACCACACTGGCTTTGATTTTGGTAAATTTTATTGTATAACACAATGTGGGGCACTTTATGGTAATGTGGAGTTCACCAAAAACTTTGCACTGACATTATAACTTGGAAAAAACACAATTTATTGTACATACACAGTGTGCTACTGGTAGTAGTCTAAGGTCTGGTCTGTAATTCTGGAGATGACTTCATACTGTAGGCTAAAGTGTGCAACAGCACAGAGTAAAGTCCTAAATTTGGTGGCAGTTTTAATAAAAGCCAGTGACTGATCCTATTTATAAACATGTTAGAACACAGTGTTAACAATTTATTTAAATACCTCTGTGATTATTAAAAGGATCAATAAAAACACTACATCTCAAAACATCCTGGACTTCATGTGTTTCCTGTAAGTAATTAAAGACGTCCCTACTGGCCCATAAGAGCTTTATAAAGACTTTTTCCAAAGATGGCTAAAAAAAGCTCTGAAAAAAGTTTAGGAATAATGCCAGGATAGGTTATTACTCTCTGTTCAATGCTGATGCTTTTTCCTTCTCTCTTTCAGACACAGATTTAAAAAAACAGTTATTTCATTGAACAAATGAAACATTTTTACTTATCTTCTCCTGAACAAAATGGTGAATTAACATAATATATGCTTCTTTGTGTGTTGCATCCAAAACTAACTATTCCACAGTGCTTTATCGCCTCATTCAAGTAAATTAATTTAAACCAGTTCTCGGCAGAAACTTGAAGGTTAAAACAAAATGTACATCAATACATAATTTAATTTACAAAAAATTAAAAGGTACTGGCAACAATTGATTTAAGCAATGATTTATCACAATTAGGGCTGTCACAAACTAGATTCTGGATATACATACAGTAACCACCATAAATTATTATCTAGCATTGATTGTATTGATTATATTGAGAATAGATGCTTAACTTGTTAAAAAAAATCAAATGATAAACTAAGCATCAGAAGTTCTAAATGTATAAACAGAAATGACTCCCACTATGTTCTTGTAACATATGGTGAGTAGAATATAGACATTATTATTTTTGCTTACTTGTTTATTAATCATTGCTGAAACCATGTTTATTACTATAGTACAATAACATGACAAACACAATCATTTCCAGTCACATTTGGAGATGCACATTTGCCAGGTGACAACGTACTGTTTATATTTTTATCATACAACCATATTAAAATGCTACATGTAATTTTATACAGTTCCAAAAATACGATCTCAAGGATCTGCTTGAAGAGCAGATGTGCATATTTGCTGGAACTAAATTACTTTAAAAAAAGAAAAGGAAAAATATTGCACAAAATCCAGTAATTTTTTGAAAGTCAATACGTGTCCCTCCACATCCAAGTAGCTCCCTTATTTTAACAGAAACATAACAGCATTTTACACAATCAGAATCAAATGTCAATTTACTTGAATTCCACTTCTGTTGTTCCAGGGCTAATACTGTTAGTGGATTCTAAATGTGAATCCTGTTAAAAGTGACCTAAGTAATGTACAAACTAGCTTCTGTTGAGCACATTTTACTGTAGTAAAACCTGGGATATAGTTCATAATTTGAACTTTTCATCTCAACTACAGCTGGGCAAAATTTTTCAACCTAAACTTGTTTTGGTGGAAAATGCAGATTCAGTGACATCAAAACATTTAATGAATTTGTGTAACTTCACCGAATTATGTTGGTTGAAACCCCCGGCCCCGCTAAAATCCCACAGGTTCACCTGACAGGTGGCAGATCCCTGTTCAAACCCCTTCTCCCACCTCCCAGGGGAGTACCCTAACCACTGCGCTAAAAGTTACAAGAGAGGTCCTTTTCCTCTGCTTCCTCTCACTGTTCTGTATAAGCCCATCTATGGGGGCCTGATTCAGTGGGCAGCCTTTGAGCATGCCTACTGGATTGGACCCCTCAGGCAAGTTCAACGCTGAAAGCTTGTTTTCTCCTGGTTTGTGTATCATTCTGGGGCTTACGCAGGAAATAGGTGTCCGGTTGCCCACAGGAAGGAAGCACTGTGCGTGCTCAGAGGCAGAAACATGGGCTCCTAGGGAGTCCAGTGAGTTTAGGTGCTTACAGGGTTTCAGTGGGAATATTGGGCATAGCAGTGATCCCAAAACTGGAGACTTAGGCACCTAACTCCTTTTGGGCAGTCAGCCCATGGTGCCCCATGTGACAATAAGCATCTGCTAAGACAGAAACCCCTATGTAAACCCCTCGGAACAGCCACAGTCCTTGTAATAGTATTAACAGGGAGGATGGATGGCAAAGCTTCCATGGATCAGCAGTTGTGTAGACTCCTTGCTCCTAAATGGGCTACTAATGTAAGTTTTTATTACACAAAGGGACACATTTTCAAAAGGGCCTCACCCTAGAATCTAGTTTCCCTGCATGAAGTTTTGTTCCCTCAATGAATTACATATACATAAAACAGATTATAGACATTTACTTACCAATATGATTTGAGGGTTGCACAACTGATTGTTCTGTAGAACTGAACCCACAATTAATTGTGGATGGAAAATTAGAAGCTATTTAACTGGTTTAAAATTTCTTTGCCTAGAAATATATAATTAACAATAACACGGGGTTAGGAAAATCTCATTCTACAGCCTGAAAGACATACAAACCCAAATTTTGAAATCTTAAAAAATTTAACAGTTAGGTAGGTTTTCAAAGTTGCTCAGTGTTGGTCTACGTCTGCTCCCACTGAAGTCAATGTTAAAATGCCCATTGACTTCCCTGAAAGCAGACTCTAGCTAATGCTGAGACTTTGTGAAAATCCCACCTTTAGCCAATCAGTAATATCACTCTCAGAAATGCTATGTGACTGTGAAGGTTTCAGTCAGGACAATTATTTCACAGCTTCTCAAACTACACTCTTCCTTCAAAACAAGGCTATAAGTGACGATACCCCAAAACATGGCACTGTAACTGACACACTGTCCTCAATCATCTCCTGTACAGATCTCTCTCCGCATGCATACAGGGAGGGCAGGGATTGGCATCCATGGTTCTGTCCATCCCTGGACTTCTGTAAAGAATTTTCACAGTATTGGAGATCTACACATGGAGAGATGAGAAGGCTATAATTGGGGCCACAGATCATCCTTCCCCCTGTGCGGAATTTGATGAAAAGGCTTCATTGGAGTCATGCTGCAAAACAGCTGAAGTGAGACAAGGCCCAGGACTCCAGAATACCCACTGAGATCCACAGGTTCTGGGGGCTGAACCCTCTGCTCATGGGTTGAGGGGCCCGGCTGTATCACCCCAATGGAACAATACAGGGAAAAGTCAGAGAGGGGAATCCTGAAGAGTGTCTCTCCCTTCTCCTGATGCTCTCAGGTTGTTTTTTTCTAAGCAGAATGGGGATATGGCTCACTTCATGGAGGCGCGGTGCATAATCTATTAGAGATGAACTGAAGACCTGAAATTCAAGTCCCAGTGTAACTGACTAGGTCAGGACTTTGTCCCTAAGTATGGATAAGAGAGTGCAATGTTAAATCAAAAAAATCTCATATTTCCCTCATGGGGGGAAAATGGGAAGCTCATAAAGATACTGATTCAGCTAAAAAACAAGTGCCTCTACTGGAGTCCTGAGCAGCTTTTTCACTGAACTGAGTTCAGCTCTCACCAGTAGATGGAGATTAATGCTGATGCTTTAGAAGGCATGAGGAGAATTCACACAGATGAGAATAGTTGAAAACTTGTAAAATCCTTGACATGGACAATTTTTCTTACCATGGGACTCTCTGTGATAATCAAAATACTGTAGACATGGCCTACAGACAGACTGATACTGCACTAAGAACAGAGTAGAGCTGTGTTGGCTGGAGATAGAGTTGCTACTCTATTTAATAAATTTGGCATGGTTAACTGGTTTTTTGTTGTTAATATGGAAGATGCCGGGTAATTTTGTATGTTTAAATAAGGCACCAATATTAGCCTTTCAAAAAAACCTTTGATATCAAGTGGTAAAGAATCTAAAAATGTGGCTAAATTTAAATTAATCAGACATAGACAACGAGGCTCTATTTTAAGGTATGTAGGTTCAAAAAGAAGGAAGACACAATAGTCAAAATACTGTAAACATTCTACGAATCACATCAGCAATATGGGAAGGATTTGACATTAGTGTGGCAACCCTAACACATTCATGGCTATTGCAATCAAAAATAATTCAAAAAGTTGAATTTTAACAGCCATCTATTTACTTTCTATTTCTGCAATTTCACTTATCAGAGACATGAATATTACTTATAAAACAATAACCCATCAAGGCATCAATGTTGTACAATTCCCAAATCATTTTTTTCAGTGCTATACTCCTAATAATCATTAAAGGGACATTAGCAACCTGGTATGGCCTACAAATTCTCCTCCATTGAAGTGCCTAAGGGAGTCAGGTGCCCAACTCCTATCAAAAGTCAGTGAAAGCTGGTCCATTAGATGTTTTTGAAAACCCCATCCTTAAATCTCATGCTGCATTCCTGAAAGATGCTTTTATAGATTTAAAAGTAAACATGACTAGAATTTCTGATAACCTTATTTTTTCCTCCAAGACAGAAACTGATAAGTTTCTAAGATATAAAAGCATTTAATAGAACATCTTACAAATGGGCATAGTGCCTATTATCCTAGTAGATTCCTAATGTCTTTTCACATTAGCTCATTCTGATTCCTCCTAGCCCTACCCAAGAATTCACTACACCTACTGCGATATGGTGTGCACCCCACACCAGCCCTAATAGGGTGAATGAGGGCCTGAGACACTAATTAGGTCACCTGACATCACCTGAGAGAAGGAGGGCCAGGGTTAATTGAGAGGGAAGCCCAGCTTGGGGGAGGGCTGGGCCAGCCCTAAAAAACCAAGAGGCTGAAAGCAGCTGGCAGCTGGCAGGTAAAGGAGTCCGCAGTTGCTCGCCTGGGAGGAGGGAGGCCTCCCAGAGCAAGGAGGAAGTCCAGGGCGAGAGTAAGCTCTGGGATCCTTTCCTGGTGTAAGGAGTCTGGCAAGAGGCTAGGAGGGGTGAAGTAGCCACGGGAAGTACAGTAGGCTCCAGTAGTAAACTGAGAACCAGGAAAGAGAAGATACGGAGGCTTGGTAGGAAGGAGACTGGGGAAACAGTGCCAGGGAATGGGAATGAGGACCTGGATTGCTGGTTATAAGGTCCCTGAGCTGGAACCTGGTATAACAGGTGGGTCCGGGTTTCCCTGCCTGCCACTGGTATAGTGGCACAGAGCCCAAGGAGGGCTGAATGCATCTGGCAACAGCATTTGGGCAGTTGTCCTGTTGGACTTTGTAAGTCCACCGGGAGGGGTGGACTAAATGGTAACCTAGCTGGAGGGCCAAGTTACTTGAAGAAGGGCTATTGCAGAGCAAGCGATGAGCAGCAAGGGGGCACCCGATGCAGCAAGAGCGACTTTCCCTGACCTATATGCAAGGAGGCACACTACCAGAGAGTGGCAACCCTGTTAAACCTACAAAGGAAAGCAGCCTTCTCAAGAGTGGGACTGTACACAGGACCACCACACAACAGGAAAAGAATACTGTATTCAGATGAATCTGGGAATTAAGGTTAGCAAAATGCAGTTATATAAATAAGAATGCAACTGAACATTTCATTTTTCTAGTGTTATCAGAGTAACAATCAAACGAGAAGTGCTAAGAGATTGCTAGGACTTTTCTTTTTCCCGTCTTATCCTAAATGCACCTAACAGCACAGCATAACCTACTTGGGTACTGATTCAGGACCAACAAAGACAAATGCCACTTCCAGATTCCCTGTACAACCTCCTGCAACATCTTGTGTTTTCCTTCGAGCTCCCCCATTTAAACATTGTTCAGACCTGACACTTCCTATTTCTTGATATCTGATAACCCAGCTAAAATGTTTAATAGTTTATGGGTTAATAATAATTTTGGTCCTCAGTAACTCAAACACAGTTTTGCCAAGTGCCACTTTTTGGGATAACACAAATAAAGACTCCACTTGCATCTCAGATATTATGGTGATAGGTACTACAGAAAACCCTAAGACAGATCAGGATGCAAATCTTACAATCATCCTCAGCACCAATAAGCTGCTGAGGTCCTCTTCAGAAACATATACTGAACACACCTATAAAAACTTTCATGTTCTAATCAGCCAAGGACATTGTATTATGAATTGTGAGTCCACAACCTGACCCTTTCCCTTGCACGTAAAACGGGGCACTTTGGTGAAGGGGCCTCATACCATTACCCAGTCATGCGGCCCATCCTCACCAGTGGTGTTGCTAAAATCTGCCTCCCCGCTCCTTTTCACCCATCCGGAGTCTGTAGTTTGGGATACAAGACCTTCTTTTACAATGCCAGGGATGTTGCCAACAAAGTTATGTGAAATGACAAGATAGTATTAGACACTAGATCTCATGGGCAGAGCATCAGCCACCGCCCCCCAACCTCCCCAAAGGGATCACACACCAATTCCCTTGAGCCACCTGACATAACCAATTGCCTGATGCCCATGGTGATAAAATGGGAAAAGAAAAGCCAAATCGCATTAGCCAAGAGGAAACTTCCTTTGTAAACCCAAACGTGACAACTGGTGTTAACCTGTGCAGTGATCCACTACCAAAGTCACTGCAGCCCAACCTGCCCCTAACCCCTGACTTCTTCAACTTGCTCTCCTTGGTCTGTGCTGAGGATACCACTAAGCCGTCCTTGCCACAGAAGAAGATCCTGCTGTTGGTGAGGAAGAGTGGGAGAGCATTCCTCGCAATGACAAATCCTGTTACTCCTTGCTTTGTGTTACATATGCCAATAGACAGTATTCAAAGTTGCCATTTTTGGCCTAGTGTGGTTCACCCCAGAATGTACTCGTTCTGATCCATAGAGGGTATGGGACAAAGCGGGGTGGACAAGGACAATGAATAGATGTGCTCCACTCAGGGAGGAATCTACTTTTTGAATTTTAAATACAGAAATATCCTTTAGGAATGCCACGTGCTCGAAGGGGGGTAAACATTTATGCCTAAATATAGTACATACAGCATCCATTTAATTCCCTTCCTTGTAATTGCAAAACGCTTCTCTGGTACATGAGAGTGGGGTATTTGCATTCTTAATTCCTGAACCAATTACTTTTGATGTCTAGTGTTATAAGTAATCTTCATTCACTGCTCTTTAAAATACTGCACAGCTCAACTAAACAAAACTCCTAAGAAGAAAAGCAATAATGTAATGTTTCTTTTAAAGGTGGCTTGTAAAAATCAAATGGTCATGTTCAGCAGTGGCACAAATTAATTTTAGTACAGAATGATTACACTGTAGAAATTTAAAAAACAGCAATAAAATCTATCAATTTCACGTACACTTTCCTTTCTGAAAATTCCTAGATGAAAACATCTACATTGAGACACTGGATAATATGTCTTTAAAGTGCCTTAGTGGTAAACAGAAGTTAAGTAACTTCACATTATAATTCAGCACTTCATAAGAGAAAAGTATGCACCGCCTTTTCAAGGTCTGGAAGACATGGCCACAGTTTCTGTTTATAACAAGCTCCCTATTAGTCACAAGAGATCCTTTAGTTTAGAAAAGGTCTTTTTCCCCTTTGCTCAAGCAGATACCTGCCATGGAAAATCATTATTGCTCTTCTGAACGTTTGCAAGTCATCTTCTAAGATATTTAAACCTTTTCCCAAATGATTAAGGCAATTAAATCATTACAAACATCGATATTTGTAAGTTTCAGACAAATCTAAACTGTTTTTGTTCATTTCATGCCCAACAGGATTAATACAGTACCTTCAGTATCTGGATATATGCAAAGGCGATACACTTCCTGCTGCACAAAGGAACATTAGTAAGCACCATGCACCAGTTGTATATTTCACATACATACAAACTAGTACCTGATTTAAGAGTGCATTAGTATATTTAGTTCCATCTTGTGGACTTAAACACAGCCAAGAAATTAACTGAGAAACATATAAGCAGATATCTAAATCCATGTACTAAACAAACAGAAGTATTTTAAAATGTAAAAGTAATTATTCCTTTGTGATCTTTTGGTTATCATGTATTACGTGGACTCCTGAGTAGTCTCTCTTTAACCTCTCATGGAAGTAGTTTCTCCTCTCAAAGTTCCCTTACACTTTATTTCCACTGCTATTACTGGGGTAATTATCCTCTGAAATGTTTAAACTGTGGTGGAAAGCAGAGGTCATTTTACATAATGACACAACTTCATGAAGAAGCCCGCTTTCTTCTGGGGTTTCCTTTCCTTCATCCCCTTCTTTTTGCCAAGGAATTAGAATGGATGGATGTTGACAAAGGTTCACTGGGAACTGATCCTCTGAGGTATTGCTTAGTGTTTCATTCGGTTTTATCTTCCTATGGAAGGAGTCATCTACTTGGGAAAATTCCAGAGAAGCAAGCTGTGCAACTGATTGTGTTGGAGAAGTTGACGTTACAAAATCTTTAGAGAAATCCACATGGTCAGCACTAAGGATTTTGTCACTATTTTCCTCCTGCAGCACAGAGACAGATTCCATCTGGTCACTAAAATCAACTTGCTTTCTTGGAGATGGAGGGAGCTGTTTCCCCTGGAGAACACTATCATCCTGACCAAGATTCCACTCCACTGGATCATTAGTACCACTACAGAGCAGAGCGAGGTTGCTCTCGCTAGGTGCACTAGACTTGTTCTGAAACAAAGAACATGTGTTGTTATAGTTAATGTCACAAGAAGAACCCTTGCACTCGCATCACTGAAAGAAAAATCCTGTGTTCATGAAAGGATATACATCCCCTGGATTTCCCTAGATACAGAACGGCATAGCAGGGAAACTGCAATGCAAGCTTTTTGACACTGCCTCATCCCGACGTTTAAAGATCACCTCTAGGAATGACAAAGGAGTTCAGTCTCCATTGCCCATTCAACCTTGACCACACAGCTGTGCAGTAAACAAAGTTATAGCGTGTGTCAACTGCAATGGTGGTTTTGCATTATGAGATAAGAAATTGAGATTCAGACCCCTGGCCACTGTTGGCAGTGTTGGTCCCAGGATATTAGAGAGCCAAGTGGGTGAGGTAATATCTTGTATTGGACCAATTTCTGTTGGTGAAAGAGACAAGCTTTCAAACTCCATGGAGCTCTTCTCCAGGTTTGGGAAAGATATTCCCAAGGTCACTGCTAAATGCAAGGTGGAACAGGTTGTTTAGCATAAGTAGTTAAAACACACTGTAAGACCTTTCAAGGTGAATTGGACAGTTAACTCGTCTCCAGTCATAGGACAAAAAAGGGGGGTTAGTGGGTTACAGATTGTTGTAATAAGCCATAAATCCAATGTTTTTATAAGACCAGGATTTTTAGTGTCTAGCACAGTTATGACTTTAAGATCCTGGGCTCACCTTTTGAAAGTGCTGTGCAGGTTTCCTTTGAGGATGAGGACTGACAGGTCAGATATAGAGTGATCACTTTGTGAAAAGTGTTTGCCCCTGGGTGAATAGGGTGTTTTTGTCTTTTATCACTTTTCTGTGTGAGTGCATTCGAGACCGTAGTGATTGCCTGGTTTCACCTCATAATTGTTATTGAGCCATTTAGTGCATTGGATGAGGTACACTACATGTTGTGATAGGCATGTGTAGTACCCACAGATCTTGAAAGGTGTGTTGTGGGGGACATTGCTCATTGTAGCAGAAGAGATATGTCTACAGGTTTTGCATCTGTTGTTCTGGCAGGGTCTGGTGCTGCTCTGAATTGGTATGTCTGATCTCTGGGGAGCTTGCTTCTGATAATGATGTTGGGGGGTTGTTTGAAGGCCAGAAGAAGGGGTTTGGGAAAGATTTCTTTCAGGATGTGGTCCCCATGGGTTGTAATTGTTTAATGATACCTCATGTGGGTTCCAGTGTGGAATGGTAGGTGACAACTAGAGGTGTGCGGTCAGAGGTTTCCCCCCCTCTCCCGTACAGAAGCAGATTTTCTTGGGGTATATCTACTTCCACCTTGTATTTAGCTGTGACAGTCTGAGTACATTTCTCGGATCTGAAGAAGAGCTCTGTGTAAGCTCAAAAGCTTGTCTCTTTCACCAGCAGAAACTGGTCCAATAAAAGATATCACCTCACCCACTTTGTCTCACCCATAATCACTGGGATTTCTATTCTTCGTTTCAGTAATCAGTTACACACACATTTATTATACACCTCTACCCCGATATAACGCTGTCCTCGGGAGCCAAAAAATCTTACCACGTTATAGGTGAAACTGCGTTATATTGAACTTGCTTTGATCCGTCCGAGTGCGCAGCCCCGCCCCCCCGGAGCACTGCTTTACCACGTTATATCCAAATTTGTGTTATGTTGGGTCGCGTTATATCGGGGTAGAGGTGTACATCTTTTAGTTCACAAACAAAATGGACATTTTATTAATGCAATCCTTGTGTGGTGCTTATAACATCAATGTTGATATGGATTAGCATCAGAGTTAATTGTTCCAGCCAATGATCGCTAATATGGGAGTGCTTTTGACAACAGCAAATCTTAAGCACCAAACACAGGAGTTGGAACTTATAGATACAAAAGTATTTTGACAGTGGCCACCAACACCAGGGAGCTGATTTGATGAAGATTTTAAAGATTCAAGCAGAAGCTCTGATCTTGCCCTGGGTCCAATGGGACTGTGAACTGAATTAGAGGCCTCGAGTGGGCAGACCCATTTGCAGGATGGAGCCTTAAACTGCTACACCAAAAATGAAATGGTTTCTAAAGCAACGACTACTTGGATCCAACGACTTAAACAAGCTGGGAAACTTCCCCAGAGTGATATACTTACACCTACTTTCAATAGGGGAGACCAAATTAATATTAACAGCCTCTAGAACTATAACTGAGACCAATTCCTGCCCAGGGAATAGAGGGAGAGAACATAAGAAGACTGTGCAGTAGGATTCCCAACTAGCCCTAGATGTGGTTACCGCTTCTAATGGCACACCATTGATAAGCTGGCTAGGAGTATACCCAAATCTTCAGCTGATGTGCATTCATACTGTGGCTATCAGCATGAGTTTGTTAGAAAAACATGCTTCTGTTTTTTGGAGCAGCAGCAAGGCACAGTTGTGACCGTATGAACCATTCTTCTATAAACAGGCCATAACTGCAGCTTCCACTAGCTTCTATTCTAAATTAATGAGGTTGTTTTACACATGAAAAAGATGACTAACCATAGCCTTATAATCAATATCGTCCGTTGATCTAAAGAAATCCAGGCTCTTTGCTCCTGAGAGCTTTCCTTGATCTGAACTGTGTGTGCTCAGCGTGTCCAAAATCTCTCCCAGCAAGTCCATTTCTCCTGTGTGATAAGACTTTACTCCTGTTTCACCAGAATCATCACTATCATAAAAATAAGCGGAAGCTTCCTCGCTGTCTTCAGACGATAACCTAAAAACAATAAAAACTTTCCATCAGCTAAAAACGTAAAATATTTTATGATGTCAGAATGGCAACTTCTGTAAGTAAATAAGGATAGCTTATTCAGAGGCCATTTGAATTTGAAAGTGGACTTAACCTGGCGTTTGTTTCGACAATTTCACCTGCAAATAAGAACATGCAGACAGATGTAGGTGCAAGCAGGGAGTAGGTATCTACATGCCCCAGTAACATACAGGAACAAAAAAGGAGGCCAGGTCTTGTAAAGCAAGCATTAAGTAGTGATGGATTTATTTTATGCGTATCATTATGAAAATAATGTTCACAGAGTACAAACAAACAGCCTTTTAGAATATGGTCTACATATTAACAGCATTTGACTGGAAAATGATAACATAGACACCATTAATAAACAAGGAGAAAAATCATGCCGCTACTGGTAGCATGTAGATATTTTTTCTATTCATCAAAGTAAGGGAGAACAGCACCAAGTGTAACGCCAATCTCAATGCTTATTACCATTCTAGTTAAAAACTACAGCAGGATGCAACAACTGTAGCCAAGTGGTTGGAAGGAGAGAATGAAAATCAGCGACTCCCACCAGCACAAATATAGGTCCCCCGTCTGCATTCCTCTTAATTTAGGTCCCACATCTACCCCAGTCCTAGCCCTCCCTCCGTCTCCACCTCCCACACTCATCGCCACCACCATTTCTACACTCATGCTCATTCCCCTTCTTCCCCACTCCTTTGTTTCTCCCCTTCTCTTACCATCTCTGTAATGGTCACTCCATCTCTAAAAAGATCACAACTTCTTCATATCTGGCTATCTCCAGCCCCTGGCTCTCACAGGGATCTGGATCCCTTCATCTAACACTGCCTTTGCAGCTCCCCTCTCTTATGGAGGCCTCTCCTTCTCACAGACTCCCTGCTTTGGATCATGGTAGGGGTGTTGAGATTCTCCTCTCCTGTTCCTGTCGCTTCCAAGCCCTTCACCCTCCTCCTTCCCTTCTGGACAGCACTGCACCCTCCTCCTTCCCTTCTGGACAGCACCTTCTCTCCTCTCCCCAACTCCCTTTGTTGCTCTCATCTATCATCCACCCAACTCCTCATCAGCCTGCCTCTCTGATTTTGTCTCCTGACTCTCTCTCCTCTCCTCACAATCTCCCAAATTCATCCTCGGTGACTTCAACTTCCACGTTGATGTCCCACCTGACCCGTTAGGCACAAGTTTCAGTGCCCTCACATATGCTGCTTGACTTCACTTCCATGACCCTTCATGATGTATCCCCATACTATTTATCATCTTTCATTCACTACTGAGATGTTGACTCAAGTCTCCAATTAGCCCATGATGCCAGCCTTCATTGCCCACTCATCATTTTTCCAAACAAATACCTTAATGCTTTCTCCCATGCTGTTCCTCCTGCTAGGAAAAAGCCCTTCATAAACATAGAAATGCAGGGCGGCAAGGGTCATCTAGTCCAGCCCTTTGTGCTGAAGTAGGACCAAGTATACCTAGATCATCCCTGACAGGTGTTTGTCTAACCTGTTCTTAAAAACTTCCAGTAATGGGATTCCACAACCTCCCGTGGAAGCCTGTTCCAGTGCTTAACCGTCCTTATATGAGGAAAAACTTTCTAATTATATAACCTAAATTTACCTTGCTGCAGATTAAGCCAATTACTTCTTGTCTTCCATCAGTGGACATGCAGAACAATCAATCACCACCCTCTTTATAACAGTGATTAACGTATTTGGAGACACTTATCAGGTCCCCCCTCCTTTTTTCAAGACTAAACATACCCAGTTTTTTTAACCTTTCCTCATAGATCAGGTTTTCTAACCTTTTATAATTTTTGTTGTTCTCTTCTGGACTCTGTCCAATTTGTCTTTCTTAAAGTGTGGTGCCCAGAATTGGACACACTACTTCAGCTCCTGGGGCCTCACCAGTGGAAACTAGAGCACAACAATTACCTCCTAGGTCTTACATAGAACACTTCTGTTAATACACCCCAGAATAATATTAGCCTTTTTTGCAACAGCATCACATTGCTGACTCATTCAATTTATGATCCACTATAATTCCCAGATCCTTTTCAGCAGTACTATAGTCTAGCCAATTATTCTCAATTTTGTAGCTGTGCATTTGATTTTTCCTTCCTACGTGTAGTACTTTGCAGTTGTCTTTACTAAATTTCATCTTATTAAGTTCAGATCAATTCTCCAATTTATCCAGGTTTTTTTTTATTTCTAATTCTGTCCTCCAAAGTGCTTGCAAACCCTCTCAGCTTGGTGTTATAAGAATACTCTCCACTCCATTATCCAAGTCTTTTGTGAAAATATTGAATAGTACTGGATCCACGACAGACTCCTGTGGGATCCCGCCAGATATATCCCGCCTGTTTGACAGTGAACCACTGATAACTACACTTTGAGTACAACAAGGAGTCTGATGGCACCTTAAAGACTAACAGATTTATAAAGCATAAGCTTTCGTGGGTAAAAAACCTCACTTCTTCAGATGCACATAATGTGGGGTTTTTATCCACATAAGCTTTCATGCATCTGAAGAAGTCAGGTTTTTTACCCACGAATGCTTATGCCCAAATAAATCGGTTAGTCTTTAAGCTGCCACCGGACTCCTTGTTGTTTTTGTGGATACAGACTAACACGGCTACCCCCTGATACTTTGAGTACAGTCTTTCAACCAGTTGTGAACTCCCCGTATAGTAATTTCATGAAGACCACACTTCCCTAGTCTGTTTATGAGAATGTTTATTCCCCACATGCCTTACATTTGGGTAGAAAAATCCACAAAACTACCTATTATTCTCCTTCAAAAACTTCCTAAAAGCTCTACATTGCTGTGATGCCTTCAAAAGACTTGACAATGGTTAGGCTGCTTGTGTGCTGAGATCATTGACTTTCATGCTGACCAATATTGTCTCCTTGTTTCCTGGCACTACCTCATCTATTTGTTTGTATCAGTCTGTTGTCTCTTGTCTTGCATGTGGATAGAAGCTCTTTGGGAGAGGGACCATCCTTTTGTTGAGTGTACAGTGCCAAGCACAAAGGGGTCCTAGTCCATGACTAGGGCTCCTTGGTGCTATAATAATACAAATAAATAATAGTAATAATATGCTGCCCCTGTTTCTCTGCTACTAAAAGAAGGATTTTATTTCCATATTAGACACTAGAACATGTAGCAATTTTTGGGTCAGGAGTCACATTGGCAAAATATTCACTCATGTGAACTCAACTGGTTTAAAAATCCATTTGTGGGACACACTGACATACATATAGTCTCTCTCTGTCTCTCTCACACACACAGGTTGCTTACTTGCTTGTTCTGTCCATTTCATCATCGTCATCATCATCCAGGGCAGAATCATGATTGCTGACATTGGTAAGGTGTTGGTTGAAACGCGTCTGGAGAGGAAAAATTAACATTGTGATCTTTCTTTATTTTCTTGCCTTTTGATCACTGTTCATTTGGGGTCTGACCACCCTCTACTCATTTATTTCAATGAGAGTAGAGGCCCTAGAAGAATTGAGCCCTTGATGGGGAGCATTATGTATTATGTATTGATAAGGGAGGTCCTTTAGGGATTCTCAAAGGATGACCAAAAGAACTCAAACATCACCAATAAAAGAGTAAACAATGCAGTACATTTTTCTTTATGGACATAGATAGCCTAATAATTCATGTGAACCCTTAACACCAGTTGAAGAAGTTGAAGATGAAGAAGCTGCACTGAAGAGCACGGGCTATTTTTTCTTGCAAGTATTTTAGACAAATAACTGTGGTTCAGTGTCTCCAGACATAAACTTTAGAACTTCACACAAGTAAAAGTGGCTAACTGTATATGAGAAATTAAGTCATTTCTGGAATAGTGAATATTAAATGAAGCATGAGGTTCTTTATGTATCTTCTTTACCATGTAGAATGCAGAATTCTGTTGAAGTGTTTTACTCTACTTGAACAAATGTCTCAATTACCTTAATAAAAGCTCTGGGACAGAAATTTTGGTGACTTGTACAATGGAAAGGGCAGAAACCTGCCTCAAAATTCTACGCATCTTTAATACTTATGTGACAATTAACATACGCAGAAGAACCACAGAAAAGATCTTCACATATCAGAAAACTGACCATTGTGAAATGTGTGAGAAGTCAAAGTACCTATGTTAGCTAACTTAAAAAAACCAAAACAAACCAACCATACACTACTATAGAGAAGTGCTACTGCCAGAAATCTGTACACCATTATGGCAGATGGTTCAGTGAATGTCTAAGCTTACAATGTGTCCCTGTTGTTGAGAAAGTGTGGCCTTTTTCTCAAACTGCTTGGAAAAGCTCACTGAAGATTTCACTATGCCACCTAGTACAGATGCTGCCAAAATGAACTAGAGCAACAGAGGGTCCTGTGGCACCTTTAAGACTAGCAGAAGTATTGGGAGCATAAGCTTTCGTGGGTAAGAACCTCACTTCTTCAGATGCAA